ACATGGTTTCTTGCGTCACTCTCCTAAACATCTACTAAATTACAACCAAATGGACAAAATTATCTCAACAGCTACTACCCTGAGTTGACCAAAGTATTTTTCTTAATTTAATGAGATTTATATAATAATTATTGTTTTAAAGAGACATCAACTGATAGTTATTGATGTGTTTCTTTTAAACATCCCGCTAATAATCACGAACCAACTAACTGGTATAATATAAAAGGGTAATAAGGTAAATTATTTTCTTAAATTACAAATCTCAAACCCTTAAATCCATGAACAAAACAACTCAACAAACAAAGGATTATTTCAAATCCACAATGCACAAAATCCTTAATAAATCCTTGGGTTTTTAAAATCGATGAAACAAACGAACCCTCAATGTTTGAATGCATAAGATAAGTTGAGTACCTGCATTTTAGGAGAAAGGAAAAAGAAAAGTATCACGTAAAGCCATCTATACCACTAGTGAGTCCCAACTGAAAGGGAAAAATTATTTACTTGATGTCGTTTCGTTCCGCCAACTCTAGTAAGAGACTGGAGGTCTAACTTTAAGCCAACTCGGCCAAGCTTTAAGCCAACTCGGCCAACTCGGCCAAGGAATATGGTCACCAAAGTAGCATATGGAAGGCCTACATGCCGGTTGCCGAGACTAGGGACAGACTATATCACATTCAGGCACACTAGGGAGGCAAGGTTAACCTTTATCCCTCTAAAAGCATGAGACATGAAAAATATATGAAGGGGCAACAAAATATGGTGATGTTCATTACGAGGGAGGAAAAATGAGTTACCAGCCAATGAAGCAATCTAAGGGGTTCAGGTAGAAAAAGAGACATTTTTGTTCCCTTTAGTAAGAGACTGGAGGTCTAACTTAGAGTTTTGATTCTCTTGTTCATATTTCAAAGAGAGGCCTAGGCACAAAAGCTTTAGGTTGAGAGCAAATGTGGGGGGATCAAAACGAATTCGGTCACCAAGGAACTTAGAAACAAAATAGGAACCATAAGGAGTAGAACCTCTTTTCACGAGGTTGTGATAAAACAACCTTCCAGCAAGTGTGCAGATATGAGACGTCTTTGGTTTCTGAAACTGGAAGAAATCCTCCCAACCAAGATTGGTGATGAGTTCACATATGTACGTGGGCACCGGGTTGTGCCGCCCACGGGCTAGCACGACACGACACAGTTAGAGCACGGCACGAGCACGGGCACAAAATAAATGGGCCAGCCCGGCACGAGCACAAATAATTTATGGGCCGTGCCAGGCCTAAACTTCATGGGCACGGGCACGAGTATGGGCACGACACGGTATATAAGTGGGCCGTGTCGGATCTAATATTTTCGAGACTTTATTGAGTATAAGAACTGACATGGCACGAAAATAATGTTCATTTGATAGAAAATAAATATAAAAAGAATTATAGGTTCAAATATTACAAAACACAAGTAGAAAAATAATTATTTGTTGTTGTTAGAAGTGTCATAAAGATATATACATAATTACTAACATAAGTAAAAATGGACAAAAAATTAAACAAATCCAAAAAACACTCGCTATACTTCCAATTTTCTTTTCCCCTATGATTTGTTACTTTTCTCAAACATTATCGGTTAATACTATCTTCCTCCATCCAATTTTCACCTTCTTTTTCATTCTCTCTTTTGTTTTCGTCCTTTTCATTAAACACGAATACAAGCATGGCACGAGCACGAATAGGCACGATATGATTCGAACCGTACCCAGGCCTAAGTCGGGCCTAGCAAAGTTAACAAATGGTCTTGCATGGCACGTCATGAATAATAACGGGCTGTGCTAAGCACGACAGGAAATAAAATGGGCCCGAAGCGTGCCCATGCCGTGCCGGCCCAAGCATGGCCCAGCGCCCATGTACATTCACATACCTGTGGTGGGCAGAAAGAGAGAGAACTGAACTCATACTCTTCGAGAATGTGTGGTCTCTGTCGCACATGAATAGTACTATTGATTATCAATTCCTAAATGTGTTCACAACAACCACATCATCAATGTTATCTATCCTTCACTCAACTCATGTATATTAAAAATTCATCAAAATGAGATGGTCTAATTGGCTAACTGAAAATGTGTAGCACTCTAGTCTATCCCTTCCAACCGAATGATCCGTTGGAGACCTAGTGAAATTAAATACGTTCACAATTTCCATAACAATTGATGCCTAATTAATACGTTCAGAATATTCGAAAACCAATTAATATTTATTAAGCTTTCAACCCTAGCTGGAATGGTTCAGTGTTTGGCCCATTAATCTCGCGTGCATTAATCCCACGAGAGAAGTCATAATTGGATCCGAGATCATATTGCACTATTATAAACCCAGTAAGGTAGGTTATTTTACTAACACAAGTTAAGATAACTATCCACCCGCAATTTGATTGAAATTCCCTCTTCGTCATCTTCTTTCTTCGGTCGAAACAATCCCAGAACATAATACACTTACCTAGAACAAGAACGCAAAATTAAGTAAATAAAGGGGCAACACAATAGACCTTCGGCATGGCTAGCTCTACGTTACTTGTGGCATAAAATAATAAACTTGTGGTGGCCGTTATTGGTCATGTGGTGTACTTTAACGAACTTATGGTGTGCGTTTCTAAACTTGTAGTCTGCTTTGTTCAATCGTGTTAGAGAGAGATGGCTAGTGTACCATGCCTCTCGATTTTGGCCAAGTGCTCTGGTCGGAGATGGAGACTGGAAATATAATTGAAGGATGAAAGAAGAAGAGAGTGTACATCATAATTGCTTGGATCAAATTAAACGGAACAAGGGTTGTGAATCCATAAGTGTGGACTGGAATAGGAATCGATTGAAGTGATATCGATTGTCGGAATGGAGGAGACAGTGTTGGAGATAGAAACATAGAGAAAGAGAAAGAGCACGAGAACGCGGGACGAAGGAAGAGCTGGCGGTAAGAGAGGAGGATAAAAGTGTTGGGTAGTTTGCAGATGAGGTTTGGGTCGTCTGGTCAAAACATGACTTTGGTTAGTACGTCCTGACCGACAATCCGACAAAAGTGGATTAGACTGTAATATTTTTGAAATGTGGGGGACTAGTACAATAATTTTATTTATAATTCTACAAAATCAGAGCCCCCAAATTATCTCGATTGTTGAGATGCATCGCACGACATATATAGTGGATGGTTCTATCATACACCAGACAAACCTAGTGTATGTCGTACACCAAGCAATCTCCACCGTTCGCGTCCATCTCAATTGGCAGCATAAATGAGGTAATTGTGTACGATAGAAGCCACCACATATATATATATATATATATATATATATATATAGTGACTTCTATCATACTTTGGGTGAAATCTAAGGTATGACATAACTATCATATTAACTACATGGATTATTGGGGAGAGATAATTACGGAAAGTGATTATTAAACAAATAAACTACCATATTCTACCCGAACCTTGCTTCTGTACGATAACCAATACCATTCCATAAATCTCGAACAGTACCATTGCATATATAACAATGAACACTACAATTCCATATGATAGATCACTACCAATGCATGCCAGTCTCAACAAAATCGCACACACATACCTTTGCTACATAATAAAAAAAGCAACTCATTTTGACCACTACCATTGTAAGATCAAATAACATACCAATCCACCAGAAGATCACTGTCAACGTGCGCAGATAACTACGAACATTGTAGATCACTACCATTGCATACAAAGATCACTTTCTTTGACTTTTGGTTCTGCCTTCCGCCTCTGCTCTGCTTCTTATTCTCATTACTAGCCTTTCGTTGACGATGGGAGCCTACGGCTGCAACTGCGACAAGTTTGGCTGGAGGGAGGGCAGGGAAGAAGTACGGTTTGGGTAGAATATGTAGAATAATCTGGTGTTGTCATTTTTTTCTTCCAAAATTACCCTAGAGCAATCTTAACTATGAGATTAAAATAAAATGGGAAAAAGAAAAATGGATGACGGATACGGATGTAGCCACAGTGGCATTTAAAATTTTAGTTGCCACCCTGACGCATTCCATTCTATTATGATTCCCTAAATCTTCCACTAATGCATTACTAATCAAGATTTTGCCACATGGGGAAGGAATTACAATTAGCGAATGTGTGATTTTGCTCACCACTAACTAATCAATCATGAAAGAGGAATTAAAGAGAGAGTGTTGCTCTTTCACTCTTCTACATTACTATTCAGGGTGGCTGTGATGTATTTTGATCTTGACGATGCTTGCGTTCACCATTGAAATAAGAAGTTCACAGCTGTAAAATTGGGCACGATCATGACTCAGGTCGTGGGATAAGAGGAGTGCGCTCTAACTACAACTTTCTAATCGAAGGCCAAGAATAACCAACGACTAGTTTTAGCATAGGGTAAGAAAGCAATAAAATTATCAAACCATGGGTCTCTAGATGTACCTTACTTCAGTTTAAGTTTTGTTATTTACCAACCAAGAATAGTGATTGAGATTAAACTAACTATACTAATCTAACCAGTATCCTAGTTAATTACAAGTTTGCGAGCTCTCTTAGGCTTGAATCCCCGTTGTTCCTCAATTGGATCGATGTTGAGTACTATCCTAGATTGATTGACTGGATATTTCAACAGCGGAGAATACTAGACTAGATTGGACCCGATCTTCGACTACATCCAATCTCGTTCAATTTCTCTACCCCTAGAGGCGTATTGAACAACCGATGAAGGCAATTGAGGTATTCTTAAAAAATTTCCACAATTGGGCATGACCCACATTACTTTTGGATGAAAGACCCTAGTGAAGAAATGAAGATGCTCTATTCGACCTAAGGGGATATTCTCCATCCTAGCTCAATTGATACGAAGAGGTGCCAAGACACATGTAATCCATCATAAACATCAATCAAATAAATTATAAGAGTTCAAAATCATAGGATATGTCACATACATCAACATTCAAACCAAAATCAAGAACTAGGGTTCATCTACGGTCTACCTAAGCGAAGGAAAGCTAATTCATAGAGAAAACGAGAGAGAATATGCTATAAGCTTAGAATCTTCAATCTTCATCTTGTAGGCGATGTTCTTCAAGCTTTAATGGTGATTTTGATCCTCCAAAATAGCTCATAGTATCCTCCTCTCTCTCTCTCTCTCTCTCTCTCTCTAGAATCGCCTCTTGGGTGTTTTGGGGTAAAAAAAACCCAACTCTCTTTGCTCAAAATCCGTTGTTGTCAATTTATACTCATAGTAGTGCAAGGGTCACTTTTTTTGTGTTTACTTCACGGTCGTGAATACCGCAAAATGTTATCTCAGCACAAAACACACTGTTTTGTGCACACTTCACGGTTTTGATGTTATTTTCACTCCCAGATAGTGAAGTGTACACAACCCGCGTGATGCACGAAGGCTGTTGGAAATTTGCAATCTTCGCGGTTTTGGTGTGATTTTCACTCCATCAGGGTGTGAACATTACACCCCGCCCGTGAACCTTGCACAACTTCACTTTTTGGCTCGTTTACCTCTGAATGTCTATAAATTCGTCCCCAACCTTCCCACACTTACTAGAACCTGAAATGTGACAAAAGAAGCACAACCAACGTAAATAGGTCGAGGAATGTCGATTACAATGTGAAACAATCAAGTTATGAAGGGGTAGAACACGCATAAATACACCCGAATCAAGTAGTTAATGCTAGGACCTGAGAGTAGTACAAAGACACAATCTAGACTAAAATATGATGAGAATGAATAAGTTACGACCCAAATGATAAAAAATTTATCAAAAGTTGTATTAAAATGTTATGATATGAACATTTAATCATATTTAGCACGAAATCAACAAAAAATTACCAAGGTGTGATTATTATAACACAAAAGCACATAAGAAATGAAAGGCTAATAACTCCTATTTTAGATTTTCTCAATTCTCCATCATTCTAAATGGTTTGACAATTTGATTATAGTTCAAAATAAATTTGCTTATTTCCGGTTAATAATTAAAATGTTTGAATATTTTGTAATATTAAGCGTTGTTTTACAAGGAAAAAAAAGGAGTAGATGAAGAAAAGATATTAAGCTCACATGAATAGAGAAGTAGTCCCGGCTCAAAGACACCTCAAAATAAAAGAATTGACAAATACTTGTTTGTTTGGTCCCTCCTAAGCTTCCTTGTTTCCTATCTTTCCTTCATGCCATCTCCAAGCACTACTCCTCAATACAACCAAAAAAGAAAGAAAAAACAGTTACAAAAATAAAATATAATAACAGAGAAAACATGAGTTAGTATCAATGAAGACAATAGAAGATGCAAGTGGTTTGCCTTTATTTCACTCTATAGTCTATACCATCAAATATTTTTCTCTCTTATCTATTCATTGCCACCTGGGAGGGGAGTGCTGTGAGCTGCTAACCTATCTGGCTTAGCCATTAATTGTGATTGCTCCTTCTAATTATTCTTCTAATTAACCTTGGAACCACCGATCGGAAACCCATCGAAATTAAATGGGACAGCCTAATTAATTAGTACCGATTTGTTCTTGTATCATTAGTTTATTAATTCTTGTTGATGCTTAGGATGGCAATGTGGCGGTATTGGGATGGAGTTTGTCTAAATCATTTTCATCATCGCTTTCAAATATACAAATTCATACTCGTTCATACCTATACGGAGAAGGTTTTGCAAATTCATTCCCATACCTGTGGGTTTCGAGTATTAGTGAGTAAGACCCGTGCCGTATATCCAACATTATAACACCTAAAATTTTGTATGTAAATTTTCAATTATAATACTAAATGCACCTACTATATCCTGAAGTCGATAAATAGATAATCATTTTTAACCCGGTTCAAAGCATATAATTCTAAAACATCCATTAATCTATAAGATAGAAGGTAATGTTTTGAGGGTTTTACGCATACTTATAAAATGTTTTTCGAGTTTTACCTGTACCCGCCCCAGTAAAAGCGAGAATTTGCGACGTTGATTAAGTAGAGGATGGTCGGGTACCCAGAGTAATGGTTTTGATTGTCATTCTCCTTGTGCTGCTGCAGGCTGCCAAAGTTACGTACTAATTACCAGACGTACACGTGCTGTGTTGCTCCGACCTCTTGTTTCCCTCTCTGTTTCCCAACTATTTATGCTTCTTTCTTTGTGGTGGCTGAAAGAAATGCTTATTAACTAACACTCATTGTTTGGTTCCTTTCGTAGCGTTCCGTGCATGGATTTCTCCTCCCAGCCCAAATAGAGTTGTAATCTCAATTGCTCCACTTGTGCTTTGTTGTGATACAGAGCGAAAGGAACAAACCAAGGAAACAGAACAGCATTTTTTAATTAATGAATAAATAAATCAGGACAGGACGTACACTCCCACTACCATTCTCTTTCCGAGCATCTTTTTCTGTCCTTTTTCAGTTGCCCTCATATTTTTCTTTTGCTTCTCTTCCCTTTCTCTTCTTCAGATTTTCAGCTACCCCACAAAAGCAACTAGCTTTTGCTTTGCTGCTTCTGCAATAAACGTATGCTCCTCACTTCCACCTCACTCCTCCTCTCTCTCTCTCTCTCTCTCTGCAAAGATCTTTTGTTTCTGCTCCCGGGTCTCCAATTTCAGTGAAGTTCCCTCAGATGGGTACTTTTATAATCACCTGAACAGAAACCCCAGCAAAAGAAAAAAGAAAAAAAGCACACATTCAAGGGAGTGGTGGGGGCTTCTCTGTTTCCCACCTATTTCATTACCTTACTATTTCCTGCTCTTGTAAGGAACTGAATTCATCAATCATAAATCCATGGAGGAAGATGATCAGCACCGTCATCATCCTCAATCGAAACATGTGTGCAAATTTTGCCGCAAGAGCTTCCCTTGTGGGAGATCTCTGGGTGGTCACATGAGGTCTCATATGATTAACGATGTCTCCGCTCAAACTGATGGCACTCTCATCACCAGAAAGAAGCTTCCTTCCCTTCCTACTGCCATTGGCAATGATGGAATGATGGCGAATGCAGAACAAGGCACAGGATTGCACCGCGAAAATCAGAAGAGTAAAGGTCCAGCAGCAGCAGCTTCCTCGCACCATGATGGCCTCGTTGGCGACAAGCTGTGCAAAGAGTGTGGGAAAAGTTACCAGTCATGGAAGGCCTTGTTTGACCACATCAAGCTCCATCATCACCGCCATCACCATTCCTCCAACAAACAAGCAGAAGAGCAGGAGGATGGTATTGATCATGAGGTTTCGGATTCAGATTCCGATTCGGATTCTTGGGACAATTGTGCTAATAACAACATGATGATGCTGAACCAGAAGCTGGTGAAGGACAGCCAATCTGACAACGAGACGACCCTGAATAGAAAGAAGAGATCTAAGAGGAGATCGACCAGGCAATTGGGGATCGTTGCTGCTGCGAATTCTTCTTCCTTTTCTGCAGTTTCAGGGGTGGAGCAAGAACAAGAAGAAGTTGCTTTATGCCTCATGTTGCTTTCCAGAGACGTTCGCCAAAACTGGCCTTCTTCTTCTCCTGCTGCTGCTGCCGCCGAATCTTTAGACAACAATTCGCTCTTCTCGGAATCTGCTAACAAGTTCAGCTCTCTCTACAATGTCAATGGGACTCATGAATCAACAATCCCTGCCCCACCAGCCAAGCTCAAAGGTATTGTGGTTATGAAATCAGAATTGTCTGCTTCCCTGCCTCCAACTGAATCACCAGCTAACGGCGGGAAGAGGAAGAAGAGGCAGCAAGATTTGCTAAAGGGGGATGTTGGTTGGGACCCAGAAGTAGATATCAACAGCAAATTTGAGTGCCATACTTGCAATAAGGCTTTCCACTCATACCAAGCATTGGGAGGCCACAGAGCAAGCCACAAGAAGATCAAAGGCTGTTTTGCTTCCAATTTTGACATCCCCACCACCGATGAGACAACCATCGTCACTGATAACGAATTGTTATCTACTGATCAATCTCCCACCATTAACAAGCAACCTCATCAACTACTACCGGTTGTTTCTTCTCCAGATCCTCCACCTGGAACAACTAAGCTCGTTGCCACGAAATCGATCAAGCACGAGCTCCTTGCCACTAAAATCTCGCCCAGTCCTACTCCGAATGTAGCGAGTGGATCAGGAAGGAAGAAGGGAAGTAACAACAACAACAACAACCATGGACGCACGATACATGAGTGCCCCATTTGTCTGAAAGTGTTTTCATCAGGACAGGCCCTTGGTGGCCATAAGAGGTCTCATTTGGTTGGTAGCAGTGAGGGTAAAGCAGCCAATAATGTTCCAATGGCTACACTAACAGAAACTGCAGATGGTGCTGGTAAGATTCCTACCATGAAGGATTTCTTGGATCTCAATCTTCCTGCTCCAGTAGATGAAGAGAGTGAGAACAACAAAAGTATCAGTAACATTAATGATGTGGTGGGATTCAATCCATGGTGGAGCGGTGGAACTAGTCACCAGCATGAGCAGCAGCCACTTGTGGGTTTGATCTCTAACTTATGAAAACAGAATTTTCGCCCAACAACATCAGAGGAAGACCACTACTACTCTACACTGAGGAAAGTCATCAATGAGTGTACAGATTCATTCATTCTTTTACAGCTACAGGGTTATTTTTGAAGTCACCTATACCCCCAAATCAAAATAATGGTAATTAATATATACTTGCTCCTCTCCTCCTCAAAAAGTCAAAACACTCTTTCTCTTTTACTTCCTTGGTTTTCTGCCATTGTTATTTCTCTTTTGTTCTTCTTTTTTTGCTCCAACACACAATTTTTGGTCATAGGAAAGCAGACAAAAAATGAAGTTCAACTTCACTCTCTCATCTTTTTTGTTTTTTTTTTTTTTTCCTTTCTTGTTGCAAAAACTCCAATACTGTAACTTCTTTAGTCAACTCCAATGCTGTAATTGAAATGTCGAAGGAAGTAACTTTATTTACTTGTTTATTCTCTTACATTGATCACACCAATGAGAGACAGGGCAAACCCCACTAGTTAACATTTTCTTGCCACCAAGGGACAAAAGAATAAATGAAAAAGGAAAACAAAAATCGAAGTCATGAGATCAACTGTAACACCCTAGTCCGACATCAAACTACTTTTACCACAATATCGTTCATGACTCGCTATGACTATCACAATAAAATATTACCTAAGGTCTAAGTATAAATTTTAGATGGGTGCAATATAGAGCAATTATGTATAAATATCGACCCGGGTCGGCCCATGTACCGCTACTTCGACTGTTTGAAACATTATCTAGCGAATTTGTTTTGGTTAAACAAAGGTCTAAAGCTAAATTACTTTGCAAAGGTAAAATGGATTTGACACTAATCGAGAAGGCTTCACCTGGTGTTGGTCCCCCTAACTAACAATTACGACTTGAAGAATCGAACGACCTTGTGTGGTTAGGGGGTTATAAACCGCAGGCAAGTCTAACAAGTATCCAAATCTACCCTCTTAGTCTCTAGGTCGAGGAAATGTGATACGATCCAAGCCGCTAATGCAACCCTCTCGACCTATTGACTAAGGAATTGTTGTCCAACAAGTAGCCAAAGCTACCCTCTTAGTCTCTAGGTTGAGGAAATGAGATACGATCAAAGCCACTAATGCGACCCTCTCAACCTATTGACTAAGTAATGGTTGTCCAACAAGTAGCCTAAGTTACCCTGTTAGTCTCTAGGCTGAGGAAATGGGATACGATCCAAGCCACTAATGTGACCTGCTCAACCTATTAACTAAGGAAAGGTTAGACTTCACCCTCGAATTGGAGTTCGGACGGCCAGCCACAACCAAACCCTAAATGTTAATACGAAATAGGAGATTTTCCGTGCATTAACCTAACTAGGAGGCAACGAATTACCCAAGAAAACACAGCATTCAAGCCTCTTTCAAAGAAAGGAAGGGGGTTTTCTCTCTACCTAGGTTATAATGGAAATTAGATTGATAGGCTTTCACACAACACAATCATTCATGAATAATACCTCCACATCACATTAAACACAACCACACACAAAATCATTCAATTCATACAAGTATTCACATAATTATAGTTGGGCTTTACAAACACCCAAGTGAAAGAAGGGATTACTCCATGCTAGGAGAAGGGAAAACACAAGAGAGGGAAAGGAAAACCATTAAGAATATGCAAGCCTTTCTCCTTGTGTTGAAGAGATCCTAATTTGGGGGGGAGGAATTCCCAAATCCTTGCTTGGAGATGAAATCCTAGATTCTCTTCTTCTTTGGTTCATCACTTTCTCACTCTAAAATCCAAAGAAGAAAAAGCTTCTCACACTAGGTCTCTCCCACTCTTCTTCCTTTCAGCTGGCTCTTTATACTAAGATCAAGCCCAGTTCACGACCTGAGTTCACGGCCGTGAACATCAAAATGCATCCGTGAACACATCGTGTTGGATCAAAACGCACCGCTTCACTTCTTGGGTTCACGGTTTATGGTTGTAGTTCACGGTCTTAGCGAGCGTGAACAACCTTGGCGTCAGTAACCTCAAAACCCTCTCTGGACGCTCCTTGTTTCACGGATTGTGGTTCCAGTTCATGGTCATGTGAGACTGTGAACTCCAATGGTAGACCGTGAACATAGGTTGTCTCCTCCTCTTTGCCCGGTCTTTGCCCCTTTTCTTCGAACTTTCAACTCCGAGGTCGGTTTCACCTGTTAGGATCTGAAACACACGGAAACACAAGAAACCTAGCGTAAGACCACCCTTTTTGGAGTTCAATTGCAACAAACGTCAAAGAGAAACGGGAATAAAAAGTATACAATTAGGCCCAAATCACTCCCCCGCACTTAGACGTTTGCTTGTCCCCAAGCAAACCATTTCCCACAAGACAATATCTCAACCTAACAAAATGCTTTGGGGACAAATAAAAGGGCACAAAGTGGTGAATCTCGATGGCTATTGGCAATTAACACATGGACCGTTGCAAGCAATATCGACATCCATCATAAATGATGACTCGTCCCGAATATCACAATAAATTCTCACCTAAGGCCCAAGTATAAACCTTAGATGGGTGCAATATAGGGCAAGTATGTTTAAATATCAACCCGGGCCGACCCGTGTACCCCTACTTCCATTGTTTGAAGCATTATCTAGCGAATTGGTTTTTGGTTGAAAAATATGAGATTTAAATTAAAACAAGGCTAAGGTAAAATGGTTTGAAAGCTCTAGATGAGAAGGATCACTTGGGTGTCGCTTCTCCCTAACTACTACCATGGCACATAGACTCGAACGGGACGTTATGGGAAAGGCAATCATGAACCGCTAGGAGGTGCAGCTATGGTCGAGGACCACACTCTCAATTTCCAAACCAAGGGATACATTATATGCTACAAGTGTATTCCTCTTGGTTAAGGCAATTAAGGGCTGACTTACCTTCTCCCACAAACCGATGGTTGGACGGGTTAATCATGATTAACCTAGTTGCTTAATTCAAGATAGAGGTTTGACGTACATTAACCTAGGTAGGTGGCTTGTCAAGCCCAAGGAATCCCAACTCAATTGAGCCTCTTTTGGAAAGGGGGGTTTCCCCTCTAACCTAGGTTAGAATTGCCAATTAGATTGCTAAGCACACACATGCACAATCATCAGGAAAAATATCTCAATCATTAACTTAAACAACACCCATAAACAATCATTCAAGTCACACTACAACTACATGGCAAATAGTTAGGGTTTCACAACACCCAAGTGAAAAAGAGTACTACTCCATGCTAGAAAGGGGAAGAACACAAGAGAAAGAGGTAGAAACCATCATGGTGATGCCTCCATCTCCTCTAAGCTTGTCTTGATCTTCTCTTGGGGAGATTCTTCCCAATTCACCACTTGGAGCAAACTCTAGCCTTCCTTCTTCCTTGGTTCGTCCTTTCTCTCTCTAAAATATGAAGAAGACATTTTCTCATACTTGGGACCCCCTCTCTCTCTTCATTTCAGCTCACACTTTATACAAGGATCGGGCTCAGTTCATGGTCTCAGTTCATGGCCGTGAACTCTTCAACGCGTTCGTGAACACAGAGCGTTGTGTCGAAACACACCGCTACACCATCAGGAGTTCATGGTCTTGTTGACCGTAAACTCGCCTTGCGCCAGTAACTGCAGATTTCTCCCTAGATGCCTCGCAGTTCACGGTTTTGGGCTTGAGTTCACGGCCATATGAGACCGTGAACTCCAATGATAACCCGTGAACCTCATCTGAATCACCCTCTTTGCCCGGTCTTTCCCTCTTTTCGTCCAACTTTCGACTCCGGGGCTGGTTTCACCTGCTGGATCCTAAAACACACTAAAACGCACAAAACCTAGCGTAAAACCACTCTTTTAGGAGTTCAAATGCTACAAACTCCCAAGGTAAACGGGGATAAAATGTGTGCAATTAGGCCCAAATCAAACAACATTCGAGGTCACCAAAAATGGGCAAAAAAAAAGTTCTCACCTTGTTCACGAATCAATGCAAGTCTCAACAATATCACTTATCAACCAAAACTAACCATGCATAAAATTCAAGTCCAAGGAACAAACGAATGGGCAACAAAGGTCTGAACTGGGTGATAGCATCGTATTTGCACGTGTTTTCACTCGGGTTTCCTGTCCATTTTGGCTCGAATTGATTGTTCCTTGGCCTATTTTACGCTAGGTTGTGTTGTTTTGTCGTATTTCAGGTCCTAGCAAGTAAAGAGGTGCATAGGCGCAAGTTTCAGGTCATTTGGATGTCAGATGGTGAATCACAGAAGGAATTACGGGCAGCCCCTGCCAAATTACGACCGTAATTGGTCAGGGCATGCCCGTAAAACAATTGCCGAGCCTTTTCCCCAGAATTTCCTCTCGGTGCTAAAATTACGGGCAAGACCCCCAAGAATTACGACCATAATTCCCAAACTACTGGCGGTAATTGGGAAATTACGGGGGTATCTCCTCCTCCTTCAGCTTAATTGAAACGTGCGTTTCGGGGCGAATTACGGGCAGGACGTGATTACGGCCGTAATTCAGCCCATAATTCGCCCAGAGTCGGGTATTTGAAGCCAGAATCGAGCCAAGGAAAGGTGGATCGAATTTCTTGAGCAAAAACAGAGCCCTAGAGAGAGAAAGGACGAAGAACTCACCCTAGAAGCCATCTTTGAGCTGGGTTTCATCAAATCAAGCTTGGAGATCGTCCTAGGAGTGGAAATCATCATCCCGGAGCAGATTTTCCTCATCTTTATGAGTATGACTACTCCTATTACTGTTTTCCTCTCTCTCTCTCTATGGAGTAGAACCTCTCTCTCACTTGAGGATGAAGAACCCTAGTTCTACGTGCTAGGGATTGATTGTAATGACTTGGGATGAGATTACTGTTTGATTTTAATCGAATGATGCATGTTTATTGAGTCAATTGAAGCCTGATCAACTTTTCCTGATTCCTGCTGCAATCTGATATAGATAGAATCTGATTAGGTTGCTAGAGTCTCATCATTCGATAGTAGGAGATTGGCTATACGAGAGTTAGCCAGTTTACTGCTTTGTACTGGAATCCAATTCCAGTAGTGGAGTTCTGTTCTTACTGCTTCAGCTTTCTTTCCCGGTGAAGACTAGTTGTCTGCCGGGTAGTTAGACTGAGAGGGCTTGGTCAACTTAAGAGATTCCAAGCTACTGCCGGATCTTCCGCAGTCTAATCAACAGTAAATCAACCCAGGGAAATACAATTGAAACCTAACTAAGGAGCTAGGGGGACTCATTCCCGAGTGACTCTTTCCTGCTTGAGAAAACCGAATAATTTCCTGCTTTATTTCTGCTTTTGCTTTTAAACAAGAATCACTTACTTTAGTTGGCTAGATAACAGAGAATCACTGAGTAAGCAGTAGATCTAGACCCCGGGTTGATAATATAACTTGCCTGTTACTGCATTCCCGGTCTGCGATTACACTTGGTCGCAGATTGGTGTTGTGTTTTGGCGTGAAAGATCATTTTCCCCTACCTTTCATTGATCAGATGCTGGAGAGGTTGGCTGGCCTTGAGTTCTATTGCTTCTTGGATGGCATGTCTGGTTACTTCCAGA